CCTCAGCCTCTTCACAAGAGAAGGTCAGCAGTGAGCCCACGAAGGCTACAGGACTACTTCAACACTCTGTATCTAGTCTTAATAGCTGGGTGGCATCAAGCTCCGTTCCCGCTGTCATTGGAAGTGGAAGCAGTAGCCTCGCATCTCCGGCTTCCATTGCAGAGGCGGCCACACCAATCAGTGTCGCATCTCAATCAGCACAATCATCTGCTTCAATAGGATACGCCAATCTTCCACCGGGTCAGGACAATGCGCCACTTAACACGTCGGCAGCAACCCCTTCCGCCTCAGCCCATCTCGAAAGCAGTGTGATTGGTCCCTCATCAATTCCGACTCTCTCCAGCGGTTCACTCTCTCCGACGAGAATCACTTCTACAGCAGCGTCCTTGGCAGCTTCGATGAGTTCAGTGGTCGCGGGCATGCCATCAAGCTCTGCTCAGCCCAGCGTAACAAAGAGCGAGACTCCTACATCGAATGTAACCGCACCTGTTCAGTCTAGCAGCTCTCGGATCGACAGCTCTACTTCGAGCGGCAGCGTCACGACTTCTGCATCTACCAATCGCGATAAGACTGCTTCTTCAACCATGACTCGACCGCAACCCATACCCATCAATCCTATTAACGGTAACATGACAAGGCCAACAAGCACGATTACTACTACGTCAGCGCAAACAACTGGGTACATATCTCCGCCGGCACCAGGAAACGGCACCGTCTCCTCCTCGTTGGCTTTCGCAACCACATACTCGGCAGCAAGCAGCCTCGCAAGCACTGCTACAATCTCGTCATCTTTGGACTTATCTGGCTCTTTCACACAAACCTTCATCGCGTCCAAGACTAGTCAGATCTTGAGTACTGCGACATCTAGTCAGGCGGCGGAGATCTCAGATGCACCACTTTGGGGGAGCGATCCAACAACTGCGCAATCAACCCCCGCTTCAGGAATTTCCGCTTCGTCTTCCGTTGACTTGGGACTTTTGCCTTTTCCGCTGGAACCTCCGCTTCAAACGGCACCTACTGGGTGGACGAACAGCTCAACTTCCAGCGTCATTGGCGGAACTCTCACTCCCAGCGCACCGTTATCTACGGCTAGTATCGTCACCAGTTCCCAAGCAACCAGATCAGGTACCTTGCGCGACGTGTTTTCATCATTTCCTTTCTTATCCACCACCACGTCTGCTATTATCCCTACTCCCACTTCGCTCACCGGCTTCATAACGAAGACGAAGACAGGGACTGAGAGCTCGATTCTCAGCTCGCGCACGAGTTCGATGTCTACAAATACCTACGACACTACCCTGAGGACCCGAACTTTGACCAATGCGCCCACGAGCAGTGCTACCGAGACAGAGGCCGCTGCAGCTCCACCCTCGAAGCCACTGACGCCAGAGGAGACTGCCGGGGTCGCTATAGGAAGCACCGCTGGGATCCTACTTGCTATAGTCGCCGCGATCTTCGTCGCTCGCCGCTATCATGCTATTCATACGGCAAAGCGTGGAAGCGGTGGCTCGTCGGGTGTCTACCCCGGAGTTGCGTGGTTGTACGATCCTTCACTTGGCGAGAATGGTAGCGGTGGCAGTGGCAGTGGATCGAACGATGCACTCATGTCTGGTGGAGCGAGTGGGTTGCCGTCAACTGGAAGTAGAACACCACCTCGCGTGCCGAAGAACTCTCGCGAGTACGATCCTCGTGGTTGGCTCAACATTGCGCAGAACTACAGCGACCCTGGCAACCCATGGAGAGAAGACCCATTCAGAGATCCCGAAGATCCCTTCAAAGACGCCTTTAGAGACTGGAGAGGTAGCGATGCGATTACCTCGCCGAGTGATCCTGGGTCTGATCTTGTTGCGGAGGTGACAAAGTATGCTGCGGGCCCGCAAAGACCTCTCCCCCCCGTACCAGCGTCTCTGACACCACTGTTCCGCGACCATGTCATTCCATCGCCGACTATAAGTCCAATCATGAATAGCTGCAGCCTGAAGCGTAGCCATTCGGTATCGTCAAGACGAAGCAGTGTCAAGAGCCAAAGGTCTCTAAGGAGCCTTCGTGCCTGTCCTTCGCCAGATTCCGAATCGAGAAACGTCCCACCGATATCTCCTTCCTGGCGTCGAGCGAGTAAGATCCTGGCATCTATTAGGGAGGGACACGCGGACGACCCTCTTCCAGATCCGATCGAACATGACCTGCTTCTGCCTGTCGATGTAAGATCGGAAACACCGGATTCAGTGATGGTACATGTATATGCGCCAGCACCCGTAAGCAGGACGCCATTGCGACCGATGTTATCTACAATACTTTCGGATGACGAAATGTCACTACCAAGCATAGCAGCCGCAAACTCATTAGCAGTTGTACCACCTCGGTCAACTGGTAGCATCCTCTTCCCCACACTCAAAGACGACAGATACGCATACACTTCACTCCCTTCAACCAACATCCCATCACCATCACCACCACATTCCGAACGAGCAGATAGCGACAAAACAATAACCCAATCCACCTACTCCGTCCGACCATCATCTCCAACCCCAACAACCACTTCCGCACCGCGGAACAAAGGTTGGGAAGAGATAAAACGCACATCCAACGGCTCATCCAGTCTCATGTCGTCGCGCCCGCCAACACCACCTTTCCACCACTTCGCGCTTCCACCGAGACCCAATCTCACCCCTCCGCCTCCCCTCAAGAAACGCTCTCTGATTCAACTCCGCCGTAAGACACCCTTGGCTGGCCCCGGTCAACTTTTGGTTCCACCTCACAACCATTACTCTTCTCCTTCGTCTTCGCCCTTGACGGTGCAGACGAACTTCATGGTCAACTCGAACAAGAGCTTTGAAGGGCCGAGGATGAGTTTGCTAGCCAAGGTGCACAGCATGAGTGATATTAGAGACGAGACAGCGAGTCCGAAGAAGAAGAAAGGCATTGGGCTTGGGATTGGATATCGCGATTCCATCTCGCGAAGGGTAGGGCGAGTCTCGAGATGGGGTCCTGAGGATGTGGGGACGAAGTTTTGAGGTTTTCCTTTGGCTTTGGCCACGGTTTTGCATGCAGTATGTCTCTTTGGAGTCTTGGTTTGTCGCCTGTCGATGCATTCCAGGCGACACTTATATCTCTTAAGTCTCAGCACAACGGTCTATCATCACGACTCCGCCCAATGTCGAACGAAGCGTTCCACTACGCATCTTTCATGTCTCACCTTTCCAGCAGTTTTACTGGGGCGTCCTACTTGAAGCGTCATACACATTAGATTATCCCACTTTGTGCTGTTACTTTGTTCACTGCGCTACAGAAACACCTTTTTTGTATATAGGATCTGTATAGCTAGTTTCTAATTCTACTTTAATACACATGAGATCCGTACCCTTCATTGCAGCACTCGTGATTGAACTTTTTCGCGCAGCCACTTCTCTAGTAACGAATGCATAAAGTAAATGACGATGTCAGTATAACGAGACCGCCCTCGTTATCTCTGTACGACAGAACAATTGTACAACGCTCTTACTCTTCTCGGTCAATGCATCGTACATCACTTTCTTGCGGTGAGAGCACTATGCAATCTTCTCACCCCCAACCATCTGCATACACAGCTTCCTTGCAAACACATACATACATCACCGGTAGGTACCATCTCCAAGAACAAGTCTGATGCAACCCACCCACGCACTAAACCCACGCGCACCACGCTACCCAGGATACCCTTCGCCCATCTTCCCCCCTCACCAGCACCACACCCATCGTACGATCGCATCCGTATTCAAACTTCGCCAACCCCCCCATTCCCATTCCCATTCTCCCAAAACAGCCTTTGGGCATCCATCCTATCTACAAGGTCATGTCAGGTCAATTCTGCCCGTCACATTCGCTAGCCCCAAACCTTATCCCTACATACACCGGCCGCGCCCGACTACCACGCGTAACTGGCTGCCGGGCGCCGGAGCAACTTCCCGGGCTGCCCAGCGACCTAATACGCTGGCGCCAAAGTCAGGGTAATTGTGCTTGTTCCTGGGAGCGGCACGCGATTATCGGAAGCAAGAGGAGCATGGACAAAACTAGGCCTTGGGTGGTAAATGCGCGCACCTGCTTTTACCCTGTCCTCGTCTGCAGTCTGTGCCTTCGCGCGCGTCTGTGAGCTGCTGCATGCACGATACGATGGTGTTGCGTTTTGTGGGAACGGAATGATGAAAAAATTTGGGCTTCAGGGATCGCGGGCAACTGGTGCATCGTGCATGTATCTTTTGTTTTTCGCATCTCAGCTTCGTACGTACATGCAAAGCTAGCATCGTGCAGTTTAAGCGGCGGTAGCGGTGAACCGCGAAATGGCCTTCGAACCCTCTCGCGATCGAGCCGCAGAATGCAGGCTGGTTGGTGGACGGAGCAGACTCCGGTGCACCATCGCCTTGCTTTTTCTCAGCCTTCTTTGTCCACTTCCGAGCCCTGCCGCGGATAAGAGGGTGTTCAGCCGAGTTCGACCGGGGGCTTCTCCTTCTAGAAAGAAACGACGACCTGCATACTAGATGAAACGAAAAAGCAAAAACGCAAACGTCATTCGGGGATTAGCAGCACGAGGAGATTTGCAATCTCGTATGCAGGATGATCTCTCGTTTGATGCTCATGGTTCGCACTGGGGTATAATCTAATAGTGTTTGTACATCGTAATATTGGGACCGTAGAAGATCCGGGGCCCAAGAAATTCCCCCAGCGAACCATTCTGGAATGGTGTGGCCTGGGCTTTCCAGGGCAGGATGCGGCTTCCTCCGCGCCTCGTGGAAGATGATCCAGAACGTGATAGCCAAAGGTGTATCCTACAGATCGTTCCAGATCGTGCTGGCCTTCAATGGACCAACGTCGAAGGCGATATTCGCTGCTCCAACACATGCATCGCCAGTATCTTCCTCCACCCTCTGGCCATCAGCTTCGAGCCAAAAACAAAGGCGCTGACAGCCACCACCGACCTTCACCACCATGGTTTGATGAATCACCGATATGCTCGCGGACAGGCATCAGGCCACGTCTGAGCCGCTGCGCTTGTTCCTCCTACGAGCCCACAGCTCGTGAAGCCACTTGTGAGATGCTTCCACGTCGGTGGGACCGGGGCACAGCGGGAGCCTCTGTCGGTATTCCTTCTCATACTTGCGGATCGCCAAGTGAAGCTCGATCTCCTGCGACATGCGCTCCAGTAGCATATTTGCTTGTTCATGATCTTTGGGGAGGGTGTTCAGAGTCGCTTCAGCCACGACTTTAGCCTCGTCTGCCGACACTCGAGAAAGGTTGCAGAAAAGCTGACGCTTGTAAAACTCCATGGATGTGTCCAGAAGAGGTGCCAGCCCGCCAAGCTCGCGAGTGAGGATGAGTTGAGCCTCCGTATACATCCAAGATCGCGTCGGGTGGAGCGAGCTGCGATGCATGAGCTGCACGTCAAGAGGGTTTACCTTGGTGGCACCCACACGGACACAGTTCTGCAGCTCCTGTCTCAGCCCATTGGCGTCAAGGCATGAGTTAAGAATTGGGTTGTCGGAATTGAGGTTGACGCCCTGAGTCTCAGCCTTATTGATGCGAATCCAGACGAAGAGGGTGTGCACTTGTCCCGGAAACAGTCGACGAATCTCTTTGCTTCCAGACTCAACGAGAACCTCGCAACCTGCCTTGGTCCGAATTTCGACCTTCAAATCAAGCAGTTCCCCAACGGGTTGCTCAGAGCGGGCATTCTTCAAGATGCGCTTGATGCGACCGGACGTGGATTGGTACTTGGACCAGTTGCTAGCGAAGACGTTCTTGCAGCAGTCTTTAAGACAGATGGTATCCTGAAACTCTGGTTCGCGGCGATACGGGAGGAACGCAGGATTGATGCGGTGAATGTAGATATCCGGGAAGGATTTCGATACCTTGTGCAAGACATGAGCCGCAGGAGACAGTACGATGACATGAGTTCGACCAGCCTTGAGGTGCTCGCCCGCCATTGATCCGGCGATGCCAAGAATGACATCACCCATGGTGGGGTTTGGACGAGGCGGATGCCAGAGTTGTGAGCCAGAATGCGCGATTCTAGACGTCAAATCCCGGAAGATCTCATCGACATCCGCACAGACGGGTCGAATTGGATAAAGCACCTCTGGCCTGTTTCCGGTGACATCAAGGTGGGTACAATGAGTAGTGTACAGCGCCAGTCGATCTTTAGGGCCAAGATGATACTAAAAAAGTGAGCAGATTGCTTCTGAGCAACATCAGCGATGGTGGCTTACCAGGGCTCCATTAACCGCATCTAGTGACCTCTCGAGACAAGCCGAAGTCACATAGTAGCTGTACATAATGTCAGCTAGCATCGTCGATCCCACCACGCAGGCACTTACCCGTTGTCTACCACGAAGATCACATCAATACCGGTGTCAGGCAGAGGCTTTCGGTTGTGCAGGACACCCTCAATTTCGATAGCAACGCCGATGTCTTGGTAATCCTCTGTGAGAAGCTTGACCTCAGGGAACAGTCTAACCGCTGCGCGCAGGGTTGTCGGCAAGTGTGAGGTCAAGTCTGACACCTGTGCCTCCGAAGCCTCATGATCAAAGTCAGTCGGGGAAGGAATGCGCTTCGAGATGCATCCCATGAGGGAGGTGAACTCGTCTCCGCTGGATTCTGTTAGTGGCTGTTGCATAGGTTCGCAAATAATAACTTACTTGCGGGCGTTGCTCAGCAGGTAGGCCTCGACAGCTTGGTCGTCCGGACGCTTGACTTCTGAGCCTTCTCCAGCCTCATCGTGAGCCGCAAGCACTGTAGCTGCTGTTGGCGACGTTGCACTCGGCGAACCGCTAATACCAGCGCTAGTCTCTCCAGTGTTGTGACGACGTAAGAGAGGTAGACCACTGGTGAACGATCGAAGCTTTGACGACATGCGCCGCTTCAGGGGTTCGGTGCTACCTTCAGTGTTGCTAATCGCCTTCTCGAGGGCCTGTTGCGCGTTCATGTGTTCAGCGCTATCGGCGACAAAGAGAGGGTACGCAGACTCGCTCGACGCCACATCGATCAACGGCCAAGGGGTAAGTGCAGTGGTAGGCATGGAACGTACTGGGTCGCCGTTTTCGGGCTCGACATGGCTGTTCTTGCGCGAGAACGCCATCTGATCTCCAAAACTGGATCCTGAGGCTGAGGACCGACTGTTTCTGTTCTTGCGTATCGTCAGAGGTTGGTCGCTCGGAGCGCGACTAACAGGCAGAGGTGTTACGGTCCACGACAAAGGTGCTCTGAGCGGCTGCGCCCAGTCAAAGACGGATGAGTTGAAGCTGTAGTCAGGTGGTGACTCCCAGATATCGCTCTTGATCTCGTCGATGATGTCGTCTAGCGGACCGAACACGTACTGATCGTCGCTATAGGTAGGAGTAGACTTACGGAATATTCGCCTTCGAAAAGTAGCTTTCCGCGATATCTTCTGGATGTGGAGGGGAGATGGGCAGAGAGGCGCGCGGTCCAGAAAGACGCTGCCAGCTGTTGTTGTTGTGATCATTATGGACGCGTCCCAATTAGGCACAAATAAAAGCCCAGTCACCGCGGCGCGCTCTCATTCACCTCGACTTTCTTGAGAACGCGTGGCCTTGCTATCAACAGTGACGTCAGATGGCAAACGGAATCTGGGAGATAGATAAGAAGAGTAGACAATGCCCAAGTTGAGATGTAGAGTGGATGTGCGAACAGACGTTGGAAGTCCAACGGTGAGGTGAGGTTTAAAGGTGGGAGGCACTGCTACAAGCCGGGAAGGTGCGAGGTTGGCACGTCAACAAACCTACGATGCCCCTTCCTACTTGTGAAAAAAGACAATCTCATCAAGAACTCGCACCAAGACGCGTTCAAGTTCATGCTTAGCTTCTGAACGGCAACGCATAGCTTGTACCAGATATTTGATGCGGACTGTAATCCAAACAGTCCTCCCATTACGCCTCGCCCAGTTGTGCGGCAGCCACTTCTAAATGCCTCTTCATCTTCTCGTGCATCTCATCGTCCGCCTCGCGAAAGCGAATCTATCACATGAGTAAGCAGTGGCTTAGTCAGATATGGCTGCGACCTACAATGTCTTCTCCAGCGCCAGCGCCGAACAGGACTGGTTCCGATATACTAGCCTTGACTGCTTTTCTTACACGTTCCTCCCAGACCCCCTCCCAGTTCCACTCTCCAGGTCGGCGATTACGTCCCAATGCAGATGAACCTTCTGACTTGTCCGTTGTGGAAGGGTCGGGACTTGGAGTTGCTCGGTCTGACTGTTGCGATTGCAATATCGGAGCGCGGTGTGCCCGCCATGCATGATACGCACCTGGATTCGCAGCAGCCTCTAGCGGAAGTGAGTCCAATATTGACTCCTCAATAAAGGTCGAGCGGATGTACTCTATCATGCGCACAATGGAGTACTCCGCAGTAGACTGAGAAGCCCCGAGGACGTCAGATACGACGTTGGAGTCGGATCGCGCGGGATAAGCATTCGACGATCCACTGACATCGCGAGAACTCGGTACAGACCTTCGAGCTCTGCCGAACCAGTGCGGGAAGCCGTGCCGGAGACTGAAGCCTCCTGGTGGCAGCCGTTCCTCATCCGTGGCACTGACGGTATCCGTGTCGGCGGAGCCAGTCGTGTAAGTATACGTGGTAAGTGGCGTGAGCAGCGGGTGAAAGACATCGGTAGAAAAGGTCACGAGGGGGGGTATAGTAGGATAGCTGGGTGGGAAGGAGATTTGGAAGCGTAAGACTGCAGGCGCATATGGTCCTGTCAAACGTGAATAAGGTCGCAAGGAACGCAACACCGTGGCGTAGCCCTATAGAACAGCCTACCTTTTCGCACGAATATTACACCTACCCACAGTGTTGGGTCGCCGGGCGTGATGCTCAAGAAAACGCCATCCAGCTGTGCATAGCGCAGACGGGTGCTGTGCAGAGTTAGGAAGCGCCGCTGCTAGCCGTGTGCCTCGACTCACAACTCGACGAGAAGATGCTGCTTCCGAAACGACGGGAGAGCCGACGCAGAGACGGACAACGGCATCTCGAGAGCAACGATGATGGTTGTAGGTCGTTCGGCATCTGCAAGCACGGCGCCTGCGATACAGAGCCGAAGCGCGTTCGACGCTAGTGCTAGCCGATCTGCGTTCTCACCTGCTTGAGTCTAACGCGCTTCCCCGCCTGCCATTCGTTGAGCGTGCAACACCACCAACACCCTTCTGTATCTCACCGGGTCGCGAAAGGAGATGCGCGCATGGTAGCATCGTGGGGGATCTGGGCTGCCCATCAACGTGGCAGTTCGCCAGTGGTGTTTGATGAGGTCGAGCTGATTATTCGTGGATGCAACGCCCTGTCGAACACCATCCCTACACCACCTCTACATATATTCGCGGTAACACTGCATGCATCTTCCTCACCCGCCCGATGCCGGGCTGCCGCTCCATCCCCGTCGTCCATCTATGTCAGACATGCTCGGGACGTCATCTGCGGCCCTGGGACAAGGCTCTGTCTGCATGCTGAGACCGAGTATCTGTGCCGACACACTCGCAACGGTCCGGCTGAACACACACCACCGGACTCACGTCAGAATACCATGGAGGGTGCATGACCGCATGCGCCGTTGGGACTGGCGAGTCAGAGCAGAACTGGCTCACACACACCTACATCGTCTCGAAACGCCTGTGTCGGGACATGAGGTTAGCCATCCCGCTATGCGCTTGCCGAGCCAGCCTATACACCAGCATCAGGATAATCAACTCTCGCCCTCCTACGCTTATTTGGAGACGCTGTGCCGCACTGGTGATGATTGATGACCACGTCGTACAAGGCTCGGGTCGAAATGCGCTGGCTCCAGTCAGCCCACTATTGGTAGCCTAAGGCGATGGTATTACACGTCGTCGCAACCGAGGGCAAAAGAAGGCAGACAAAGCCTCGCACGTAGAGGCGGCGCCGCATCGAACATCTACCTGATGCAGAATGATCGGGCAGCATCATTCCGATCGACCCACGCTGCCGGTTTCAAGGCTGGCTTTTCGTTTTTGTACACTCGTGCCGACAAGCGCGTGAACACCCCAATCCTCCGAAATCTCTCTAACCCACGCCGCCTGCATCTGCTGTCATCTTCGTCGCGGCACGACGCTATGAGTTATGCTATTGCCTAAGGGCAAAGAAGCATGGTGTCATTCTCGGAGGATTCCAGTAGAGCAATAAGAGGGCCAGGGGGCGTAAACCTAAAGGCGCTAAAAAAGGCGGTGGCTGTCTCAGACGCTTCCATCTTCTTGCGAACCCTGTCCCTCGCGTGGAAATCTGCAGGCCAGCCTTACATATCCACACCGCCATGACCGCTTAGGCCAGGTTGCGTCGAAACAGCCGTTGTGCCCTGGACACCTTTGCACCAGCAAGCAGAGATCGCTGGTATACCGCGACAGCTCACTTACAGCACATGACGGAAGCATGTCCGGGGCCCACCGGAAATGGGAGTGCTGGCAAAACCTAATCAAGCGGTCTGAAATGGGCAGCAGTACAGATGCTACGTCGCCGCAGAAGGGCGCAGAGCCTCGTCAGCTGATGGGGGTCCTAGGGTTATGATGCCTTGATGACTGATGAGAATGCAATCACGATGTGTGACCAGCAATGACAGATGCAAGCAGCAAGCCACGTCCTGCGACCCGGTTGGGCCCAATGCGCAGGCGTGGGAAGCTTCGAAACCACGCTGACCGGACAGGGGGGCAGAGAGATGATACCTGGGGCAGCAAATGAAATCGCCGCACGCCTAGTGCCAGGTTGCGATCTGAGGGATACGAAACGCGCTGCGTCGTCCTCCTCGGCCATTCAAGCGCCGCGACTCGTGCCTTGTGGCGCTGACGACCATCCGGATCGCCAGGCATTGCAACAAAGCGACGTTGTCTAATGCGCATTGCCGCGTGACCGGTTGGTATGCATCTGCCGAATAGGTATGGAGTACACCGCTATTTTTTGGGGGTTTGTCGGAGCAATCAAGCAGCAAGGTATGATGCCATGACAGACGCTCATCATCAATGACAACGAGGGCCCCAGCTGCATGGCCCAAGCTGCTTCTCGAAATTCTGCGGCGAATCTTCTGACTCGCCTCACGTCAAAAGTCTGACCGCGGCTTGGTGTCCTGGTGCCCCTGAACTGGGCGCTGCGAAAATTAGCATCGCCTTGTGTTCTACACCATTGGCGGCACGACGTCCTATTTGCTGGCGGGGCATCGGCCTCTGGGCCGCTGTGTCCGTTTAGGGAAGGAAAGCAAGCCGCAAGTCGCCGGCATGTTGCCATGTCGTTCACAGAGCGACAGGGTCTCCCCTGCTGTGGCGCGACTCAGAGCGCTAGTGCCTGTGAATGTCGGTAGAGGCATGCGGGCATCTCTAGCGCCGAGGATTTGGGTCCCGGGGAGTCGGGTTGCTCTGTTGATCCTGTTCCTCTTACGAGCCACGTCCAACGCTCTTGCAACTCTCCCTGGTCCGCCTTACTCGGTTCCTTCTAGCTCGTCCAATGTCGTGGATTCCGTCCAACCCGGACCGGTTTGTTCGATGAGCAGAAAGCTTCCCCAGCCCAGCCCTGGCCCACTTTCAGGGGGCTGCATTCGCTCTCGCATGCTCACACAGACTCACAGAGCCCGTCCGGTGACATGGAGTCACAAAAAACAGAGCTAGGTACAGCTCGGCTGCCAGCACTGCATTTTCCGGTCGCTTATCGACAGACGGTGGGCTGTTTCGTAGCAACGATGGCATCACGGATCCGCTACTCATTTTACATTCGCTGGTCCCTCCGCTGTCCCTATCCGCCCACACTACGTATCCATACCCACTGCCATCACCGCTTGTTCTCCGTTTCTTCCCCGCCGCCACAATCCTTGCTCATCCCAGCGGTCTATCCGTTTTGAGGACGCCACTTAAATCTTGCTGCTCCTTATATACCTTGTGACGCTCGCGTCCTTTGCAAACTGACTCTGACCTCTGAGCCCTGGAGGTACTAATCTGTCGCAAACTCGCACATGTCTTATTTGTCACAGCCGACTCCCACTTCACTTTGACATTCACCACCTGCTGTCATAGTATTTGACATTCTTCTTCGACGACCTCGACCTCTACACCTGCACACCACCTTACATTCGACTTCGATACTATCAACATGGCTCGGTATGGCGTGGCAGCTGCCGCGGGCAGCGATATAACACCTTTCCCAACCCGACAGATGGCCGTACTTGGTGAGCAGCATGCCATGATGTAGCAACACACGACAGTCGCTAACGATGGTAGCGTTGTGCCGGATATGCGAACCAATCGCATTCATGTCGATATTTCCCTACGCATACTTCATGGTCGAATCATTCATGACCGGACATTCCACCGCCCAAATTTCCATGTACACCGGCATGGTCACCTCCTCGTTCGCATTCATGGAATGCATCAGTGGCATTTTCTGGGGCCGACTCAGTGATCGGGTAGGACGGAAGAAGGTCCTACTTGGAGGTCTTTTTGGTACGGGGCTGAGCATGTTGCTCTTCGGCTTTTCCCAGAGCCTACCAATGGCGTTGATTGCGCGGGCTCTCGGGGGTTTGCTTAACGGGTGAGGTCATAGTTCGATCTAGCGTCTGAGCCTCGCTAACCGAATATGCAGGAACATCGGCGTTCTCCAGACCACTGTTGCAGAGCTTGTTACGGACGAGCGACATCAGCGTGAGTTTTGCCATAACTCTAATTATACGCCGCGCACGACTGACTTTGCATAGCGCGCGCTTATTCCATCATGCCCTTTGTCTGGTGCCTTGGGTAAGATATTTCCTAGCAGCCCGACTCGTCCACACGCTGACCGCTTTTTGTAGCACCATCATTGGCGGAGCGCTTGGCGGCTTGCTCGCTCGTCCCGCTAACGTAATGCCGTTTTTCCAGGACACCATCTTCGAAACGTACCCGTTCCTTCTTCCAAACTTGGTCTGCACCGGCTTTGTCGTTCTCGGCCTGACTGTCGGTATTTTGTTCTTGGAAGAGACCCACGAGGATCGTAAATACGACCAGGATCGAGGCCGTGAAGCGGGGCAATGGCTTCTCCAGAAGCTGTGGAGGCGCGACGCAGATGCGAGATTTGACGACAAGGATGCTTCGCTTGACGAGATGCGCTCGATGTTGAGCGACCACGATCACGACGTCCAGGCCTACCGCAGCACCGACACTTCGCCTACTCTTTGCAGCACACGAACTTCCATTTCAGAGGTCCCGGAATTTGAGTTGGACAAGCAATTCGAGCCAGCGCCGACTTTCCGACAAGCATTCACCAAGCAAGTGTGCCTGAATGTAGTGTGCTATGGTGTTCTTGCTTTCCACACCATCTCCCTCGAGCAGCTTCTACCTATTCTCATGTCCAAGCATGTGCCAACCGAGGGAAGCCAACATCTTCCCTTCCGCTTTGAGGGTGGTTTCGGATGGTCCACTCAAACGACCGGCGCGTTCCTCGCAGTGCAAGGTTTCCTCCAGATGTTCGCACAGGTCATCCTTTTCCCTTGGGTCAGCAAGAGGCTCGGCAGCCTTCGCACTTTCTGGATCACTCTAGCTTGCTACCCGATCTTGTACCTCCTTGCTCCTTACCTGGCTATCCTTCCCGAAAACTTGCGCATCCCTGGACTTGCGGTTCTGCTCATGGCCAAGGTCACCTTCCAATCGCTCTCCTACCCGTCCCTGGCTATTATCCTCGCAAACTCATCCCCATCCAAGAAGGTTCTCGGCACGCTGAACGGCGTCGCCATGTCTTCTGCCAGTATCTCTCGCGGCTTCGGTCCCACCATCTCGGGTGCTGTCGACAGCCTTGGTACCACGCTCCACATGTCTGGTCTTGCGTGGTGGGCTATCGCCGCCGTCGCTCTCCTCGGATGGCTCCCCGGTTTCGCCCTCACAGAGACCAAGCGATCCAGCTTCGCAGCACAGGACGAGGAGTCCTTCATCGACTCTGACTCTGACGCAGAGTCCATCATCACTCTCACTCCGGACGACATCGAGATCGTCCTCTCCAAATAGATTCACGCAATCACGACCAAAACAGTAACGACGCCCCTCGACCTGCATGACGCGGCGCAAGCCCTCTGCAGGGCGTCGACGCGCTGGTAGCGACCCTTCCTTTCACATCATAATTTCGGATTATAGAGACATTTTTTATCGCGGCAGAGATGAGGGTTACATCTTCCGCGCGGCGCATCATTATGGGTGCACTTTAGCGACATCATTTACCAGGGCGGCATTTTTTGGGTCAACATTATTAGAAGGGAAAGCTCGATTGTATTGGAGACCAGCAATGGTCATCCCCGAGCCGGCGTTTGTCTCAAGAACAGAATACCCCAGTAGTTATTAGTTTTCTTTGCTACACTGTATGTTAGATTAGCGTGCTCGAGCACCAATTCATGACTTGGATGATTTCTCAAACCGCAGACCTTTGTTTTGCCATGTACGTCGTGAAGAGTGCATTAGCTGGATCTGAGTCGTGACAGGCCTCCAGCGGTGAGTTCAATGCGTCTGTCTTGAAGATTAAGCGGAGGTCGCAAAACAGGTGTAGTGGGGAATTTGCATTGTCGAAGTGGTCCCTTGCACGTTACGGATGCTTCCTTTTGCCTTCTACACGTGCTTGGATCGGTGTGCTTCATGCACGTGGTGGAGCAACGGGGATCGCGAGTCAGTGACCGCCAACATGCGGATACCGGACGCCTTGCATGGCTGCTTCGACCATGAAACGGTATCACGAGGTCATGGACGGCAGATGTATGCGCGCGGTGACGAAAGTAACGGCTTCCTTTTGTGGTCCCTTGGTGTTGAAGGATCGCGACGTCGGCTTGCCGAGGCCGAGGCAGTTTAGTAATGCTACGACGGCTTGCCATCAGCACCACAGCCATGTCGACCTGTGGACGGAGGTGTAACTGGGCGATGACATAATTGTGAGAGGAGGAAGATGGCATCTTGAACAGATTGATGCTGGACGCACCCCATAGCACATGGCAAAGTAGACGTCTGCCCACATGGCGAGCATGACGTGCAGCCGCACCCACACTCCGCCCACGCCTATCTTCCGCTGGAGAGATAAGGCCCGTAGCCGACCAGCTAGCCATCCACTCTCAAGCGACGACTACCGCGTCCCGCTGGGAGAATGGCAGACATCTTCCCCGTGCAATCGCAATCCGCAGCCCTATCCACGCCGTCCGCAGTGGTCGCTGTTGCTGACGTCCTGATCCAGAGTGCGGGGGAGCAAGAAAGCTGCCCGCCCGTTCAGCGAGAGCTCGGAGAATAGACGCCAGACGTGCGCGAGCTTCACTAGCCCGAACCCTGCGGACTTTCTTGCCATGCGCCCTGATGAGCGGCCTCAAGCGCTCCTTGGACGAGGCGTCTCATGACGGCGACCGGCCCTCGCCCTCAGACTCGCCCGCGTCGACGGTGAAGCCTGCCTCGCCCGCCGCGCCTGCCTCGTCGTCGTCGAGCTCCTTCCGCAATGTGAGCGCCTGCAACCGCTGCCGCCTGCGCAAGAACCGCTGCGACCAGCGCCTGCCCTCGTGCGCCTCCTGCGACAAGGCCGGCGTCAAGTGCGTCGGCTACGACCCCATCACCAAGCGAGAGATTCCGCGCAGGTACGCAGTTACGAGGGGAGCTATGGGCAGTCGCCGCGGCTACGACTGACGAGCGCTACAGCTATGTATTCTACTGCGAAACCAGAATCGCCTACCTCGAGTCGCTCCTGCGCGACAACTCGATCGCCTTCCAAGAGCCCGACGACTTCAACCCGGCCTTTGCCTCCAATGGCGCCGCCACACCACGACCCATATCCGCCGCGCCGCCGCCGCGCAATGGCAGTACCAAACCCTCGGCTGCTCAGGCCAAGGAGGAGAGCGACAAGTACGATCGCGAGAAGCTGACCAAGCTCGTGTCCAACATCGGAATGGTCTCGGTGCAAGGCGCCAGTGACCCGCGATATCTGGGCTCCACATCCGGCATATCCTTTGCCCGCGTCGTGTTTGCTGCCGTCAAGAGCTCAGTGTCAGGCTCCTCCTCTGAGCGCGGCAGCAATCGGGGCGCCAAAGTAACGAGCAATGTTGTGGACAGCGGCACCTCGATGCGCGACTCCTTCTTCGGGCTGCAGACCAAACCTACCATACGGCAGGCGCCCTTCCCAGACCGAGAGCTCGGGTCGCGTCTTGTTGAGCTGTACTTTGAGCACGCAAACCCACAAATCCCCATCTTGCATCGGGGCGAGTTTATGGAAATGTTTGAGCGTGTGTACGCTTCCGGTGAACGGCACCGCACATCACGAGAGTCGTACATGCTCAACATCGTGTTTGCCATAGGCGCTGGCATTATCCTGGGCAGTTCCGACTCTGAGGGCTCGCCGACGTCGGATCACGGGCGCTCACCAACAAAATCACGATCATCACCGCCGAGTAGCAAGAAGCGGCGACTTGCAGGCCACCAGCACCAGCCCGAGGAGTACCACGCATCCGCCATTGTGCACCTAGAGAATTTCCTGGGTTCCTCTCCCGCTGCGGACCGTCCCGACGGCTTCGGCGGTGGCCTGGAGGAGCTGCAAGCTGTGCTACTGCTCGCGGGCTTTGCGCTGCTGAGACCTGTTGCCCCTGGACTGTGGTACATTGTGGGCGTTGCTGTCCGTCTTGGAGTGGACCTAGGGTTGCATTACGAGGATGGCGTGGGTATCGACGGGGCGGGTGCGGAAGACCAGTCTGCTGGAACCGCGGCCTTCAAAACTGAGGGTAACGGGAACACGACGGCTGCCAGCGGCGGGAACCCTTCGAAAATAGATGCAAAGGAGAGGGGCCGCAGGCAGTGGGTCAGGGACCTACGGAGACGCTTGTGGTGGTGCGTCTACTCGTTGGACAGACTGGTCAGCACGTGTGTTGGCAGACCTTTCGTAAGTACTTTCCTGGGTCTTCATTTTCGTATGGTACTACCGGTTATGTCGGTTATGTCACGATCCCGCATGCATGTGCGGCAGTCTTTACCAGGGGACATATCGAGGATCGGGATGTTCGACACCGACTTTCCAACATGGTCTCGTGCTCTCAAAATTCGATGCGTGACTAACAGCTGCATAGGGTATCACAGACCAGATTGTGACTACCGAATTCCCTTCGCTCCTCGATGATCGCTACATTACCAAGGAAGGTTTCCTGGAACCGCCAGTGCATCAAGAGAAGCCGACATACAAGATTGTGGCCCACCATTACTTCCGGTTGAGACTACTGCAGTCTGAAATTTTGCAAGTCCTACAACATCGGCAGGCACAACAGGCACGAGCGAGTGGTGCCAATCAGAGCAATGAGTTCATGCATACCAAGCTGCCTTCGCCGTTCCTGATCAATTTTGAGTCGTTCCGCGCGTGGCGCGTAGATATCGACAGACGATTACTGGAATGGAAAGACTCGGCACCAACGCAGCTCGATGCTGGCGTGCAGTTCTCGCCACTGTTCCTAGAGCTCAACTACTGGCAAGCATTGATTATGCTGTACCGACAGAGCCTGGTCGTTCCCTCTGGCCTGCAGGAAGAGCTGGGAAATACTGGTTCCGACATGGGAAGTCCTTCCATGAGCAATCTTGAGGAGCGCGAAGACGAAGATCTCGTCTTCCTCAAGGTAGCTGAAGCCGGTCAGAAGGTTCTGAAGCTGTATAGACAGTTGCACCGCGTACATCTTGTCAACTACACGTTTTTGGCGACACATCATCTCTTCATGGCTGGTAAACTACATCATCTTCACCGGTACCCACAGTGCTGACATTTGCAGGTATATCCTTCCTCTACGCAGTGTGGCACAGCGTTCATGTACGCAGTTTATTGGTAAGTCGGTCCGAATTTCCGTACTGCTGTGGGTACGTTTTGTTGGTGTAACATACATGTCTAACCAATGCAGTCTCTTGACGACGTCGACTTCACCGTCCTTGCCGCGACATCCGTGCTGGGTGACCTAATCGACAAATGCCCGCCCGCAGAAGCATGCCGCGATGCATTCGATCGGATGAGCAAAGCGACCATTCAGATGTGCATGTCCACCACCGGCTTCGGGCCGCAAGCTCTGCGGTCACTTCCGCAGCAACAGCAGTACCCGACACAAACCTCACCAACCACTGCATACACATCTGCAGCCGATGCAGACGTTAGGTCAGACACAGACATGCAAGGTTACGCACCAAGAAACACAGCCAACTTCTTTGGCCAACAGCAACAACAGCAGCAGCGTCGACCCATGCCACGCTTCGACATGAACCTCAAAGACCTCTTCTCCGACGACGAGACCGACAAACGGTCTTTCAGTCGCGTAAGCAACCAAGTCAACGCCATGAGACCCCCTCCCCCACCCATGAAATCCGAGTCTCAAATGCAGCCCTTCACAGCGGATCTAAAGATCTCTCCTCAACTGCGCACCCCCCACCTCCAACAGCAGCAGCAACAAAACAACTTCTTCGCCCAAAGTTCAAACATGACTAGTCCGAGCCAGCAAAATACCTTTCCCACGTCTCCGCCTACTAATCCATCGATGCCATCGCCCTACCAAATTAGCAATCAGGTCCCCTACAACAATTTCTCACAGAATATCACGTCCAGCTATCCCGATTTGGGGTTCTCTGATCTAGATTTCCTAGACAGTTTCCCCGTGCAGGGCGCAAGCGGTAATGGTGCCGATGCAGGAAGTGGTGGGCTGCAAGATGTAGGCATAGGCTTTGGAATGGGGTTCGGTGATGGGACACATGATTGGAGTGACGTAAGTTCCCCCCTCACTATCGCTACTATTCGCTACAATGGAAGTACACGTGCTGACAATGTTCAACAGGGCAACGGCTTGGATCTTTTCGACGGGTTTTTCTTTGGTCCAGGAGGCACAGGCGGGACTGGGATGTAGAGTTTGGTGTCGGTGTTCCGAGAATCGGCTCTCAGCCTCGATGTAAGAGCCGGGAATAACATTGCCCGTCGGCTTACTGTACTTGATGGTATCGAGTAAAATGATACCGGGTATTGTTCTTACCCGCCCTTCTGTACATCTGCGGCACAGTCGCGGACGTGGGGGCAGGGCTGGATAAGCCGGAAGGCGGCGGTCTCCGATAGGCGCCATGCCGCTGTGAGAAGAATGGCAACGAGGTTATGGATGGCTGTATGATAGATGTTTTCAATCCATGAGACATTTCGGGTTGTCACTCTGTGTGTTCATTGTCGAATGCTGTAGTGATCGAAGCGATCATGAGGTCGACATGCGCGCCCACCAGAGAATCGGAAAACTCTCACCACACCGGAACATGCGGGTATCATACTTCTACCCTAAGAATACTTGAGAGTCTATCCAAGTTACTACAACCTCCTCTTCTACCATGGCCATCCACGCCCCTGCAGCTTCATTCCTCCTGCTCTCCTCCACTCCCGTCCTTCCACACAACACTCCGCACCACCCACCACAACGGCACTCAATCGGAATCACACCCTCTCCACAAAGACGTTTGCAGCTCTGCAAAACAACCCGCATACCCGTATCAAAGAAACCTTCTAGTCGGGTCTTTGTTATCCTTCCATCCTCCCTTCCTTTCGCATCCCTTGATGTTTCTTCCGCATCCCTTCCATACCTAGTTACCGTCTCCGTTCGCAGTCGTGCCACACCATGCCCAGATACCATCTCAGTTACGGGCTCATAGAGTATCCCAAGGCTTGATCTATGTTGAGCTGAATTGAGGTAGTGTAGGGTCATAACTCGTAAGGGCGTGTTTGACTCACACCCCGTTTTACCATGTAGACTTCTATGGTCGCATGAGTATCACCTCACTGCTTACTACCACATGCACAAATTCACTCTGTTTAATAACTCTACCACTTTATGATTCCCGTTTACACCGTTTGATTGTCACCATTGCTCAATCGCCACGTCACTAGCAAATCTAAATCCAACCCCATCACGTACAAACACCACATTCACCCCAGTGCAAAAAGCTACCAAAGCTGCTTCACCATCCTCCACAGCCCAACGCGTTTCCCAGAACAAACATGTGTCTCTACATGATCGTCCACTACGGACCCAATCCCTTCTCACTACCCCGACTCCTCTCACGACGAAAAGCTGAGATAGAGCAACGAAGTGCATCAGAATGGCGAGTCGAACGTCTGAGTCTGAATCGTTTACGAGAGCTCTGGCATCTAAAGAGCCGAAGTCAGGAAGATTTAAACAAGGCGGAGAAGGACGACGTGTTTGACATGGGGTACTGAGTCAACGAGTCAAAAGTCCTCAGTGGCACGACATCAACATCGACACGTTACAATCAAACAAAAATGGGAAAGACTTTTTGGAATGAACTTTTTGAATTCTTCCTTCAGCTGATGTGCAGAAGACTTGTCTAAGCTAACCAGAGCATGTGGCTCGGCCTGCCCTCCATCCTCCGTCGAGGAGTGGGCGACCAGTAGTCGTGATCTTCATGGTATCGTTTTGAAGCTAACCGTTTACTCCACCCATTGAACAAAAAGCACAACAGCCTAGTTCATCTGCCTGACGAGCTGGTTGATGAACTCCTCGCGGTTACCAAGGTCACCACCCTCGATGAAGTGCTTGAACTTGCGGGTGCGGAAACCGCCAGTGGGGGAAGAGAGCTTGAAGGGCCAGAGGAAGTTGGAGACGGCCTTGAAGTTGGGGCCGACGGTGTAGATCTCGTGGATGATGTCCTCAATGCAGGTGATACCGAACTTGCCGAGGTTGGCCTCGATGAGCTCGTTGTCGGTGATCGGCAGACGCTGCTTGTTGACCTTTCCGTAACCGCGCTTGTAGACAAGCTCGCGGACGGTCTTCAAGTTGGGGTATCCGTAGGCGACGAAAGGCTCGACGATCTTCAGCATCTCGCTGGTGGCCTTGGTGAGCTTGACGAAGACACCGTTGTTGATCTGGAGAAGACGGAGGAGCTGGAGGGTCTTGCGCTTCTTGGGGTCGATCTTGTTGATACTGCGCGGGTTAGTAAAAGATTTTGCAGATGTGGAAAACTGCAACATACCCCTTGATACGGACAACGAAGGCGAGGCGGGACTCGGCGGGGACGAAGAGAGAGTTGTCACGCTTCGCGGCACGCTTGGCCTCGATGACATCGCGCTGGGCCTTTGCGTACTCCTGGGTGTACTTGGCGGCGCGCTCCTTGATGACCTCGCGCTTTTGCTTGCTGGCCTAAGAAATCTTAGCCAACTGTGGAACTCCTATCTGCTTGCGCAGGTTCTGGGAGACTGTTATACCTCACGCTTCTTCTTCAACTCAGCGGCCTGGGAGTCGCTGGTCTTCTGGTGGGCCTTCTGCTTCTTGAGCACCGACTCGGGGACAGCGATGTCATTCTGGGTAGGGACGCTGGAATCGTTAGCTGAGTTGCGGTGAATTGAGCGCGGTATACTCACGATGAGCGGGCCATTTTGCTGGTGGTTAGTATCCTTGTTGTTGTCGGAAGCTGGAGGAAGAAAGTTCGGTAGCCCAGTTCGAAATTCATGTGCGGGCGCTAGTGTGGCCGCCAAGATCGAGTGCAGCGCTAATGCCCCGCTCTATTGGCCCGCCTCTCGAAGCTATCGACATTTTCCTGAGAGCTACCAACTTGCGACAGCTGCGGCAGGTTTGCAAATTCAACCCTTTACCTATACCTACTCGCAGCAATGGCACGAGGCGGCGGTCGCGTGAGTAGATACAGCATGCGCCACACATAGATAACGCCCACTGACTTCCATAGGGCGGTGGTCGCAAACCATTTCGCGGCAAGGGTAAAGGTCGCGGCGGCGGCGGTGGTGGTGGAGGACGTGATACGCGCTCGGAGCCATGGTCCACCATTGAGCGCAAGAATGAGCTCTTCGAGAGCTACTATCGCATGGGAGGATTCCTGGAAGAAGCAGAGTTCGAGGAGATGTGGAAGGCTCTCCAGACCGATCTGCCCAACAGTTTCCGCTTTACTGGCACTAAGTCCGATGCCCTCGCAGTGCGCGAGATCTTCAAGCAGCGCTACATCCCGGCGATCGCATCCAAGCAGTTCGAAGGCAAGCCCGTTTCGCCTCCCGAGGCAGTCCAGGCCTTCCCCGATGAGCTCGTATGGCACATGAAGACGCACAAAAAGGTCATTCGACGACATGCGCCCTTTGCCGACTTCCAGAAGTTCCTCGTCGCCGAAGCTGCGTCCGGAAACATCAGCAGACAGGAGGTTGTCAGCATGATACCGCCACACTTTCTCGACGTCAAGCCAGGCATGGTAGTCCTCGACATGTGCGCAGCACCGGGAAGCAAGTCGGCACAGTTGGCTGAGATGATTCACGGCGACGAGGAAGAGCGCGTACAGCGTGTAGCGAATGGCGAATCGGTCGACCTTGGTCAGGACGGTGACTACAGCGACGACGGGCGTTCAACAGGTCTCCTTATCGCGAACGACTCCGACTACAAGCGCGCCGGCATGTTGGTCCACCAGGTCAAGCGACTCAACTTCCCCAACCTTATCGTAACCCAACACGACGCCTCCATTTTCCCTTCGATCGAACTGCCCAGCGACGGCCAGAGGAAACAATACCTGAAGTACGACAGGATCTTGGCTGATGTGCCTTGCTCTGGTGACGGAACAGCCCGCAAGAACCCAAACGTATGGCAGAAGTGGACGCCTAAGGACGGTCTTGGTCTTCACGGACTCCAGCTGCGCATCCTGTTCCGAGGTCTTCAGATGCTGAAGAAGGGAGGTCGCATGGTGTACTCAACCTGCAGTTTGAACCCCGTGGAGAACGAGGCTGTCGTCGCAGCAGCCATCGAGGCTTGCGGTGGTAACTCCAAGGTCCGACTCGTGGACTGCTCAGACCACCTGCCAAACCTCAAGCGAAAGCCTGGTCTCAACGTGTGGAAGGTGCTCGACACATCGTCAGTCACTGCTGGAGGAGAGAAGACCGCTCACATGTTCACCAACTGGGAAGCCTACCAAAAAGCGAGGGCAAAGTACGAGGCCGAAGAGCCCGAACGTCAGTTCTCCACCAAGGTCACTCCCGGATGCTTCCCCCCTGTACCGAAGTCCGAGGAAGAGCGCATCCCTCTTGAAAACTGCATTCGTGTTTACCCACATTTGCAAGATACTGGCGGTTTCTTCATCGCCATCCTTGAGAAGGTGGATGACATCAAGATTGCGCAGGTACAGAACCCAGAGAACTTGGCTAAGGCCCAGAGGTCACACGCCACCGCCGACACGACCACCGACTCATCGATCCCCACTCCTGCTGAGAACGTGATTGAAGCCGATGCTACCAAGACGGAGTCTGCAGATGAGACCTCTGAGACGGCTCCCCTGAAGCGTAAGCTGGAGGAGGATGAAGATACCGAAGCCCCCAAGAAGGCCAAGACCGAGGATGCAGTCGCTGAGGCAGCTCAAACACCAGACGCAAAGCCTGCCACTAACGGCTCAGCTGCCCGCTTGAAGCCCGAGAATCAGTCCCAAGCGAAGGAGTACTTTGAATACCTCCCCTCTGACGATGCAACCATCGCCTCCATCATGAACTTCTTTGGCATCGACGATCGCTTCCCACGCGACCGCTTCATGGTCAAGAACAAGGAGGGTCTCTCGCTTAACAAGATCTACTACACCTCGGATCTGGCCAGGACTATCCTCACACTCAACAAAGACCGTGGCATGAAGTTCATACATTGCGGTGTCGTCATGTTCGTCGCGCACAAGATCAAGGACCAGGACCGCACGCAAGCACCATGGAGGTTACAAAACGAGGGTATCCGTATCCTCGAGCCATGGGCAAGAAAGCGCATAGTTAAGCTAGAGAAGAAGGAAACCCTTCACCAGCTCATCCGCGAGATGTTCCCCAAGCTACCCAAGGAGGGTGACACCGGTCTCGGCGAAGTCGGCTCGCAGCTCCAACAGATGGACGTGGGCTGCTGCTTCATCCGCGTCGAGAAAGACGATGAGAAGGGCATTCCGTTCCGCATGGTGCTTCCTCTCTGGAGACATCCCGGCAGCGCCAACTTGATGGTCGACAAGGATGACCGCAAGGCCATGCTGCTTAGGTTGTTCAACGAGAAGGATACCGAGATCATCAACCATGTTGCCGACAAGGCCAAGGCGGAGCAGCAAGCTCGTGATGCTGAAGAGGCAGGCGAGGATGATGCCAAGGTGAAGGATGAGGGAGATGTTAGTGACGGCGAGCAAGCCACCGAGGCTATGGTTGCCGAAGAGGAAGAGGGCGCTATGAAGGTTGAGGTTGAAGACGACGACGTGAAGATGGAGGGCGGTGCTTAGGCATTGTCATCTCTTCACGACGGAAAAGTCATTATTAGAGCATTCTGGCTTTGGCTCATCATCTGGTTTGCATTTGGGTTGGCGTTTTATCTTTTCTTAGGTATCATCTAGAGCTTAGCTTCTTACTCTATCACGCATATCTATGTATGAATGTCATGATGCAATCTTTCAACATCTTCATCGCCTCTTAGATCATGAGCTCCGACAACGTGTATTACAAGGGGTATTCCGAAAAAACTACAAAACATACTTTGAACTCCCCATCCCTTCCCTTCCCCATCATGAACCCGTGCTCAGAGACCGAACCAAGGATAAACCACACAGACTCACGCAAAACGATATCTCAAAAAGCCCTTCTAAGACTTTTCCTTATCCCCCGCTTTCGTCGCAACACTCTTCCCGCTCTTAACACTCTTCCCACTCTTCATACTCTTCAAGCTCTTCTTACTCGCACTACGCTTCAGTTTCGCCTTGAGTTTACTCCATTTCTCTCTCAGACCGCCGTCTTCATCCTCGTCCACATCTTTCGGTCGCTCGACACTATCAAAGCTGCCGCGCGGATACTCGAGCTCACTGCCAATGTCCACGCTATCGTTGTTCCGGGCGTGTTGCTGGTGCGATTTGCGTGGTGTTTGTTTAGACGGGGTGTGCATGCCAGAGCCAGAGGTAGGAATGTCTTTGTGCCGACCGAGGAGCATGAATTGGAGGGTTTGCCAGGCGGGCATGTTGGCTATTGGACTGTCTTTTTCGTTGGCTTGGATGTCGGCGTTCTTCCAGGGGCAATGTTCGCGGTGGGACTCTAGGAGGTTGAGCCGTAGGCTCTCGATCGGCACATCTAGTTTCTTGCTCATCTCTGTGAGGCGCGTAGCAGATGACAACCACAGACCCAGGCGCTGGAAACAGTGGTTGCATACTGCGAGGGAGATGCGGGATTCGGAGACGCCGGTCCAGCCAAAGAGGGCGAAGACGAAGGCTACGGTGTCGCTGGGTGAGAGCGGGGGTTGGGTGCCGGTGGATGTGAAGAAGGAGGAGGGGACGCGGGCGAGGATTTGTTGGATGGGTGGGTCGGGGTAGGTGATGTGTTCGAGAAGGGGGAGGTCGGCGGATATGGCTTTGAGGAAGCGGTATCGGTCGAGGAGTTCTGCTGAGCTCTTGGTGCGTGATGCGATGGGGATGTGGTAGATGTCTTCTGTTTGGGTCGTTAGTCGTGTTGCCGCTCCTACTGGTTGTATCCTCATACCTTGACACCCTCGCTTTCTCCACAGGCAGTCGTCTGAATGTCCCTCCACAATGAGATCCTTGTATCGCTCTATCAGAGCGTCGTCGATATCGAAAGCCAGATCCTCGCTCATCTCCAGATCCTTTCCGTTCGCATCTTTCCGCTTCGGCCTCAGCTTCACCGCAACACGGTTCTCGCATCCACCTTTGCAAGCCACGGTGTTCCAGATATCGCAACTCCAGCCCCGCTTCGCCCACTCGACCTCGTTGATCGCATCTGGCTTGGTCGTCCACTTCCTCACATCTGCGAATGTCTTGAGCCTCTCCAAAAAGTGTTCTTGGCTGTATGGCTGGAAGTTGGGTGCTTTACGCGGCGTCGAGGCTTTTGGCGTGACAACAGTCTTGCCTACAACCTTGATAGTCTTTTCCCTCCGCGGCGTCATAAGCTGTTCCTTGAGCTGCCGTATGCGCTCCTGTCCTTCCGATATGCCTCTCTGGCGCTCCATGCTCAGGTTTGCGCTGCGCGGACGCTTGTTCGGATGTTCAGGGCTGTCTGGTTCCGAAAGCGCGGAGAGGGACGCGGTCGATGCATTTGATTCTTGGAGGGTGCTCGCGAGAGAAGTCGTCGAGTTGCTTGCGGTGAGGTTATCGAGGAGCTTGTGGAACTTGCGCTTCGTGGTCGCAAGCGCAGGCTGCTGCTCTGTTGAAGTCATGGTGCCGGAGTGAATGAGTCCGCGATGATTCGGGTGGAAAGGCGGATCGTTCGGATTGGAATATTGGGATGCGCGCGTCGTAGAGTCGTGTGCCGATCTTTGTTTACGTCCACTCGAGTCGAATGCCAGGTCCGTCTATTCACTCAGCATCGACCAGTCGCAGTCGAAATGATATGATAAAAGCTGCACTTCACCAGAAGGGACCGCAATCTCGAATGTCTGTGCACTAACAGCAGTTGAAACCCGTTGACGAGAGTGTTGTTGCCATGGCGGCGACCCGATTCCCCATGCAGTAACCTCCGCCCGCAGCGCCAAGGCCAGCGCCAGCGGGCTGCGTCGCGTCCACCCACCTGCGTGCAGAACCCCACCAAAGCGACAAGGAGGGGCTGAAGATTGTTAGTGTTAGCGTTCAATGCCCACCCAAATTGCGCCATCAAGATTCTTCCTGCTCGCACTCGTCATCCTGGCTATCTCACTTGTCAATCCATCGCTGTTCTCTCGCAGTGTCGCTCGTCTTTCTCAATTGAAACACCACATCTACCCGTCCGCCGCACTTCATACCTCACAGCACGTATACACGACCTCGAATCGAAGCATACACACCATGGCCTACGAAAAGGAACTGGAGATTGCTCTCCTCGCCGTCCAACGCGCTTCCATCCTCACAAAGTCCGTCTACTCGAGCCATTCCAAAGGCACCCTCTCCAAGAGCGACTCCTCGCCCGTCACAATCGGCGACTTCGGCGCACAAGCCCTCATCATCGCATCGATAAAGCACGCCTTCCCCGAAGACGAAGTCGTTGGCGAAGAAGACGCCAATGACCTCCGCAAGAACGACTCGCTCCGCGACCTCGTCTGGGACCTCGTACAAGCCGCGAAGCTCTCCGACAGCAGCGCAGAGGAAAAGATCGGCGGACCCATCAAGAGCGCAGACGCCATGCTCTCAGCACTCGACCAAGGAAACAGCGAGGGTGGAAACAAAGGCCGGATCTGGGCCCTCGATCCCATCGACGGCACAAAAGGCTTCCTGCGCGGTGGACAATACGCAGTCTGTCTCGGTCTCCTCGTAGACGGCGTCCCCACCGTCGGCGTAATCGGGTGCCCCAACCTGCCCGTCGACGACCAAGCCCCGCTCACCACAACCACCGGACAAGACGCCGACGACAAAGAAGGCAAAGGCGTGCTCTTCGGCGCCGTCAAGGGCCAGGGCGCTACAAGCCGCCCCCTCAGCGCCGGCGCCCTCACAGCCGCCAACCCCATACAAATGAAACCCCTCTCCGACGTAACCCAAGCCACCTTCTGCGAATCCGTAGAAGCAGGCCACTCCTCCCAAGGCGACAACGCCGCCATCGCATCCAAACTAGGCATCACCAAGCCCTCCGTACGCATGGATTCGCAGGCAAAGTACTGTTCCATTGCGCGTGGAGCGGGAGACTTGTACCTCAGACTACCTGTTAGCAAGACGTATCAGGAGAAGATTTGGGATCACGCGGCGGGTGTTGTGCTCGTGCAGGAGGCGGGTGGTGAGGTTAGCGATGCGTATGGGAAGCCGCTGAACTTTGGATTGGGAAGGACGCTTAGGGAGAACAAGGGTGTTGTTGCTGCGCCTAAGGATGCGTTTAAGCAGGTTATTGAGGTGGTTAAGGAGGTACTTCTGAGCAAGAAGGAGTAAGATTTCTGGCTGTTGACAAATGATATGATATGATATGATGTTTGTGTATACCAAGTTATGCGGTGTTGGTTGTGACATCCTGTGTTTTGACATCTTGAAAAGCTTCATATAGGGTACTCTCATGACGAAGTCAATATCCGCTTTTTGCTCTCGAAACACATTGCGAATGGAACAGTCACAATCAACCAACAAAGCCATACACCATACAGAAATTCTAGCAGGAAACCCACGTCCAAAATTCTCATTGGACTACCCCAATACTCTAGTGTTGAAAGAAAAAAACGCCAAAATGCGGAACCATAAAGATACCCATCAGATATCCCTCCCTTACCATACCATACCAACCCCACTTACTCCTACTCCAGTCCCAATTCAAATACCAATTCCAATATACCAGTAAAATGACCCTCCCATTTCCCCACCAGCAAAAGCCCCAGTAAAGCGTAACTAAACTTCCTATTTTCGAACCGTATTTCCTTCCCGTTGGGTATCACCTGCTTTAGATCCTCCATCGTTTCTTGCTCCGTAGAGACAAGTTAGTTTCCTTAGCCTTTGTTTACTCCGTTAAAGTGCAATTTGGTATTTCTCTGTCTCCGTTGTGGATGATATTGGAGAGGTGTTGTTGAAGTGAGCTGTATGAGCGATGCGTTGCTTTTGCATGTTGAGATAGACTGTCGAAGTTGTTGAGTGGCGACTCATGCTGTGAGTGTAGTCGTAGGCGTAAGAATACCGCCGCCTAGAGTATCGTCTCCGGACTCATCGACAAAGGTGCTTTCGGCACCTGCGTCAAGTTCATCGGTGTCTATATCCGCCTCTGCACCGGTATCGTTGACTTCCTCAGTCTGTTCTTGCTCGCTGTCGTGCTGAACGTGTTCAGCCTCGACGTCCACCGGTAGATGCAGTATGTGAGCACTCATTCCTGGCACAGGAGTAAGGTGCATCTGCGCTAGTCCTTGTTGAAGTGCTTCGACCTCCTCATTCACGTCTTCGGTCATCTCGACGTTGTTCTCTTCATCGTCAGAATGGTCGTAGGCAGCGTGATACGGCGAAGGCCCCGAGGCACTGATGGTAGTCAAGTTTGCGGGTTCCTCCATGACGCCGAATTCTGTTGTCACAGTGATAGAGTCCGGACTTGGGATGGGTAGTTCATGTGTATATGACGAGGGGCCATCCATGGTCGGGTTGACAGTGCTCTCATCATAGACTGTTGTGAAGAACTCGAACATCTGTCCAGCCAGCTCATCTGCTTGCCCGCGCTCTTCCTTGTCTTTCCTCTGCTTGGCGATGGCACGAAGTTGCTCTTCTTTCTTTTGTTTGATCTCCGCCTCAAGCCGGCATTTGGCACGAACATTGGGTTTGTGTGTGCATGTCGGGCAGTGGTAGTTGACAGTGCAGAATGTGCACGTGCAAGTTGGATTCGATGACGCGCATTGCTAAAGACATGTTAGAGATCTGTCATGATCAGGGATTGGTAGTAAACTTACATCGCAAACAAGGACTGCACACTCCGAGCACTCCTTGAGAATTGCTGGACACTGTGGTCGGACATCTCCTGCGGGTCTCGGGTACTGGCAAAAGTATGCACCACAACCACTCCACTGAACGGGATGCCGCGGATTGCACGGTAGGGGAAGAGGATTTGTGACAGGGTGATTGATTGGAACGCGTTGCGAATTCGGTGGCCAAGCACTAGTGGGTCGACCGCGGACGCCAGACACGCTGAAGGAACGCGGACGCCCAGAGCTGATGGGAACAAACGATAGCGAGGTGGCAAGTTGGAAAGGTTCGGGATTTGAAATAGAATTGAAGGACGTTGTTGTCGACATATCGATTGACGAGTGCTGAGGAGCAACCATGATCTGCGACTGAGACATGGGCGTCTCGGAGGACTCGGATTCGTTGTCACCTGTGGAGTAGAAGTCTAGATGCGATGACGATGCTGTGGGTGTGCGTTCAGGATCCGGTGTACTGGCCCTATTTGGGTTGAACTCGGGTATGACGAGGCGTTGTGGCGGCTCGTTATGTGACCGCACATGGTCCCGCTCTGTATGTAGGTCCCGATAGCCACACTTGCGGACCTTTAGTGCCCTGAAATCATGCTCCTTGCATATGGGGTTTTTGCAAGCCCGACATGACACTTTCCACCGGAAGCTTCGATAGCAGTCGTTACACAGCCCTCTCGGACATGTTTGTTGTTGTAGGTCAAGCGAGTCTTGCTTCAGGTACGACAGGATGTCAACGTCCTCCCCAAGCACGTATTCGTACAGGCCGTTGTTCTTCAACTCCCGGACGTAGTCCACGGGTCGAAGTGTGTTGCTGAAGTCCGGATCCTCATACTCCTTCGTGCGAGGTAAAGGCGCTGCGCGTATCTTATCCGCTCCTCGGCCACCCAGTCCAGTACCCAGAACAGCAATACCGCCGCCACCGGAGAAGATAGGCTCAAGGCAGCACCAATGCATGTTCAGTTTTGGAGGCTCGCGGTTCGCAGGTGGTACAGGCATACCGTTGTTCCCGTCTTCGGAATCAGAGTCGTCATCGTCCTGTGCACCCTCGTTCATGAGGTTCGGTGATCGGCTCGCGCCTGGGGCCCACCAGAAGCGGTTCTGGTCGGCCTTTTCCTCTTGACTCCGGTCTTCCAGTGGTCCAGAAGACCCTGACGCGTGACCGAGTGTGCCGCCTAATGTGCTGCTGTTGCCAAAAGCCAGGTTTGCGAAGTGCCGTGTCTTGACTCGTTTCCTCGGTATCGGCCTGTTGAAAGCGCAGCTCGCACAGAGCGTCTTCCTGCAGCCCATGCAGTGCATGCGGACACTGCACGACTCGCATCGCTCCAGGATAGGATCGTTGCATTGGGCGCATTTGACCTCTTCAACAAAGGCAGTGTGGCTCCTCCGCTCGTGCACTGGGACATGTTTGCCTTCTCCGGCGGAGTTCCCGTCTTCGGGACCGAGTGGCTCGCCATCTTCTCCTGTCTCGGCAATCTCCCATAATCTGCCATCGTGTTCGCCCAGCTTTGTCGTGCCTTCTACCGGGCCAATGCGGTTGCTCGATCGCCATAACCGGTCAAAGGGTACCCAGACTTCCATGTTCTGGGGTCCTGCTCTTCCAGCATGGTAGTCCTTCCTCCGGTTGCACCTGCCGCCCGGGGTCGGACACCACGCTGTATCTGTCCATATCCCCAACTGGTGGCATATCTCGATGAGCTGGTGGGTAGGGTCGGAATCGGAGTCTCGCCGGATGAGGGAGGAGGGCAGATAGGGCCGCCGGCGGTGGTGTCGACAGCGGTAGGTGTATAGGCTCTTCAGAGCGAGGTCCTTCTTTATCCATGGTGCGTCCTTGAGTGTGTAGGGCTCGAGGAAGGGCACGATGTGGTACTTGATGGAGACGTTCTTGCAGCCGCGTACCGACAGGTGCTGGAGGGTGTCCTTGCGCGGGCCAACTACGTCGCCGATGAGCGAGACGCCAGCCACAGCCGTGTTGCAGAGGTCCAGGCTGGTCAATCGTGACCCGTTCGGTAGTATGGTCTGTATGAGGAGGGCGTTCAGCGAGTAGGCCTTGGACTGGCGTTCCCGGTTCTCAGGCGTCTCGTTGCCGGGCGAGCCCACTGCGACGGCGGGCTGGGGCAGGCGGAAGGAGAGCGTCTTCCATGCGAGGGGGTACTGCTGCAGGAAGTGGCGCAAGTGCCGTGATGTGTGGTAGAGTTCGAGGAGGGTGACGGTGGAGATCTGGGCGAGGAGCGACTCTAGGACGGGCGGGTACGAGGTGATGATGGACTCGAACAGGCTGAGGGCGGCTGCTGGTGCGGCGGCGTGGCTCACTGCTATCGTCTCGGTGTGCGTCGTCGCGGCTTTGTCGCCATGGCGGGTGGTGCAGGCCCCGAAGTCGCCGTGGCCGCCGTGGAGTATCGTGCTCATGCTGCGTGGGTGGTGGGTGACGGTGACGGTGTCTACACAATCACGCCCGGGGAGGAGAGAGCAGCGACATGCACGGGTGGAGCGCGTTGAGTCGTGTCGCGCAAGCGAAGATGGTCGTGTGAGATGGCTTGGCCAGCCGTCGGTCGCAGGCCAGGGTTCTTAGGCCAAGATGAAGGCGATCCGTTTGCCGTCGCCGGGCGATCTTTGTGCCTCACCGATAGCCAGGTGCGACTAGCAGTACCATCCTCACTGTTACTCGGCTCACGCTGCCGGCGACCACCTCAAAGACGCGAAACTTGACGTGCCAAGCTGAGACTTTGATAGATATGCATTCGGCCCTCCTCACCCTCACGCCGGCGCCAACCAGCCTATCAGCCAGCGGCACATTGCAGTCCCTCCCTCAGCCTTGCCGCGACAGCCCTCTGCCAGCTCAACACGGTGCATCACCTGGCGACACTAGTGCGCGTTGCTTTTGCCTGTTGGCAGACACGACACTCCAATTCCATTCGCCTGTGCGCGTCCATAATCACATCATCCGCGCTTGCTGTGCGACTGCTACTGAAACCCCTTTACCCCGCTGCACTGTGCCAATTCGCCACTCTCAGCATATCATGGCATGGCAGGAGAAACAACACCAAACTAAAAATATTACATAGGCTACGCTAAGAGGATATCAAACAAAGTACGCCAGGTAGGCCCTTGAGCGAAAAGTTATTGGCCATACGCTCGTGCCCACAACATATTCCAACAAAAACAAAGACAAAACGCCGCAGGGACCTTTTGCGCTACTGAGTGCATACGCAGGGCAGCATGCGAAGAGCAAAGAGCATGCAGCAAAGTTGTGTCCCTGTCCTGATCATCTGCAGACTAAATATTCCAAGTACCATAATCAGAACACCCAATTGCCCTGCGTATCCCGATCTTCAAGCCCATCAAACAGGACAATATCCCATTGATCCTCATCCTCACCAGCCGGCGGCCACAGCGAATTATCAATGAATGAAAACACTGGAAGATGCTGTCCCGTAGCCGTAGCATTCATCAACTTGCCCGCATCGGAATCAATATCGAAAACCGGGCGTATGGGCAGCTTCATAAATTCCAATTCCACTGTCCCGAAGAAAGGTATTGTATGGCGGACTTTGCCACTAGGCTGTTTGCTCGGGTCCAGTGAGGAGAGGATCTTCTTGAGTACTATAGCGCTGCGTGCTGCGATTCTTTCGCGTGGGCTGGCGCTGGCCAGTTTTTCCATTTCGCCGATGAGACGACATATCATGGCGAAGTCTGTTCCTTTGGTCTTCTTTACTTCGACTTTGTCTTTTGTACCTAGCTCGATGACGATGTCCAGTGTGAGTGTGACGGCGGCGATGAAGACTGATAGCTCGGCGAATCGACAACAGGCTTGGGTGATGCTTGCGTTGCGGAGCGCGAACCATCTCATCAAGATGTTCCGGCAAGCCTGTAAGGCAGTGACTTTGGAGTATTCGTAGCGGTTATCGAGATGTGCTCTGAGTAGGTAAGGCAAGTGGATGAATAGCTTCATCTCAAAGTGCCAGACTTGCACCATCAGTCGCTCCAGTGTGGCGAAAGACTCTGGCGACCTTGCAGTCGACGGTATATTTGGTACTTCCCAGAAGTCCTTGGGCATCTCCTTCATGGAGAATTCCAGCTGCTCGTCCAATGCCAGCGCTGCCGAATATGCCTGTGGCGAGACATCGCGATCAAGCTCCGCCACTTGTCTTGTCAGGTAGTTGAGTTTCGACCGATGAACCAGATGTGGGCTGGCGTCTGCTGGAAGTGGATAGTCGTCCGCGCCGAACGGGAGGCGGAGATGCAGTCCTAAATACCGATCAATGTCAACGAAGTGGCGCCATATCGACTTGGCGTTCGAAATCGCTGGGATCGGGGGGTTGGAGTCGTCCTGCGCAATGATGCGCTGAAATCCCATGAGATGTGCCAGGCTGAGACCGCGCCGCACAACAAGCCATGACTGCCGTAACGAAGCACTGTTCAGATGGTAGAGAGCTAGGAGCAAAAGCGTCTCAAGTCCATGCAACGTCATCATCTGCTCGTCCGAGGAAGTTACCAACGATGTCACCGTCGATACATAGTTTTGCATCGTCACCTCCATGTTCCAGATGCTCGAGAGGCGCGAATGGTCGAAATCGGGTGGGAGCGAGTTGATACAGATGGCCAGATGCAGTAGTGTGCGAGCGATGATGATAGGCCGCTCTTGTGCCACAGCCTGCATACACAGAGCATACGACTGCAAGTCGTTGTTGACATAGATCTCTTTCGATGCCCGGTAGATGCCTTCTAAGATCATCCACCCGTTGGACGATTCGAAAATGATATCTGCATCGTGCTGTGACGGCAACAGGGCGGCTAGGGTTCGGTGGTTGTTGTCGTAGCCTGAGGGCTGCCCCTTGCTATCTGATTTATCGACCAATGTACGAAGAGAAGGCGCTGAAGTCCATGTTTGCGCCCCAAGCTGACAACGTTAGTGTGGGCGGTAGGAGGAATAGACTCGACTTACGATCCCATCGGCCAGTGAGGAAGTGCTATACGCATCGCTTCGCTGTTCCGATACATCCGGTTTGATGTCTTTCTCGGTAGAGCCTGAGGCAGTGAGGGCAGGGCTGTGCGGCACAGTAGTGGCGGCGCCTGCGGTGGCATTTTTACGACACACAAACCTTTCAAAAAGTTGTTCCAGTTTGCATAGCCTTTCTTGGATGTGGTTTGAGCATGGATTCCCGTCATCTATCCGATCCGATCCGGTATTGTCCATGATGGCGGAAGAGTTGAGAGTAGTTTGGCTCGCATTCCCGTGAACCTTGCGCTTCTTGCCTGTAGCTTATTCAGTAAGTAGTCCAGAGAATGTGTAAACAGATCCTAGTCTTACACTCCCAGCATGCCCGGCGTAGACTTTTCGAAGGTCGTTTCTTAGAAGTATTACTCGCGTTACTCAATGATTCCATGATAGTCTTTGCGACAACAAACAATGAAGATGGTATGATTTACGGAGATCTGGTATTCCTGTCACAGGCCTATACCTGATAGGGGCGGCCATGTTACTTTCATAGCGGGGTGAAGGTGTTGCGATGGCAATGCTGATGTGGAGCTGACCTGTCGGACCGCCGGCCGGGTTTCGTCCGCAACGGATGCCGAGAATTCCTCTACTTTAGTGATCATACAACTCCGGCGCTTGGTAACGGCAAGGGAGGCTCGCCCGAGGATATGGCCACCTTAATAAGCGTATCTCTGAACGGGTACGGTAGAATATACTCGTGTTTGATGCTTTTAGTGTGCTCTTATCCGCAGTCCTCGATTTCATAGGTACTTTGGTGTTGAGAGGTTCGCAATTTTGGATTATCGACATGTCGGCTCCAGGGATGCTCCGACGGATGATTGCACAACGCGACCAGTGCTTATGCGGCCTATCTCCGCCGTGTTCGAACGCACTTAGAAAAGCCACGCGCATTGTTGACAAAGTCTGGAAAACTTGCCTCTCGGATACGGATATCCTATTACCAACATGTCGCTCAAGATCGTAGTTTCTGGTGTCACCGGTCGCATTGGCGCGCATGTACTGCACCATGCGCTACAAAACCCGCTCGTATCGAGGGTCATCGCAATATCACGGCGGCCCCCACCCGGGACAGAAATGCACGCTAAGCTGGAGGTAGTGTTGCTTGAGGACTTTACAAAATACCCCGACGATGTGCTTGCGAAACTATCCGGGGCAGACGGATGCATCTGGTACCGAGGCACCTGCGTCATACTCCCCAACAACTGCTGACGTTCAAGGTGTATGACAACAACGGCTGGTGATCCCATGTTAGAGTTAGAGTATCCCAGGGCGTTTGCTGAGGCGTTTGCATCGACCATGCCTGTCGACTCAAAGTGCTTTCGGTATTTGCACTTGTCAGGCGGTATGGTGGAACGCGATCAGGAGAAGTCATTATGGATGAAAGGCTCGATGCGCAAGATCAAGGTAGGCGATTATTGTTCTTTTGTGATACCATGTGCGCAAACTGCAGTTAGAAAGATCCGGGGCAAGCTGCCAAACGTGCTGACTCTGCATAGGGCCGAGGAGAAGTTCAAATGCTTGAATTCGCCAAGATGAATGAAAGCTGGAGAACGGTCATAGCTCGGCCAGGCATGGTTGTACAAAGAGGTAGTATTGTTGGTGAGGCATCCATGATGATGGCTGGCTCTTCTGGCTCCTTCATCCGATTTGATGAGCTTGCGCTTGCACTCGTGGATGCGGTCGTACATGGCAGTGAGGAGCTGTTGCTACCTTCTATGCTCGTACAACGAGGCCAACAATTGGCGAGGGAGGCCACCGAGTGACCTTTTCAGTCAGAAACGAGGACGGATAGGGAGGGGGAGATATGTTGGATTCCATTTGATCCATGAATTGGAAGCGAAGGCCGGCGCCAAACTACCGCTTAATCTCCTACCCGCAGAGTGTCTCCGCAGTTGATCACTGTCAATACCGGGTATGTTCCGCGTGTGCGCATGACGATCGAGATCATCTATGTTCGCCCGCTATCTGCTGGTATTCCCAAAATCCTATGCAACGTAACGCAGAGTAAGACCTTTCAGGCGTACATGTCATCGTAGTCTTCTTCGTCATCATCCGCAGGCGGTGGTGGCGGTTGTTTCTTCTTCAACAGTTCTTTGCGATCAAGAGGGCATGTGGAGTTCAGCTTGAGCCAAGGGCCTATGCAGTCCAGGTCGAAGCGATGATCGTCGTGACAGGGCAGCTGGACTACGAGTGGGTACTTGTCTATGCAGTTACCATCAGCCAAGCTCTCCATTGGGTCTTTGAGACGTGCGACGTACCTTCAAGGAATGGGTTCACGCAAATTGGGCAGGTGTCTGAAGGCTTCAGCGCTTTCTTTGGCACCCGCTCCAATTCATCCAGGAAGCTGTTTGGAACTCCCTTCAGTTCTGTGGGCGGGTCGTCGGCATTCTCGCGGAGCATCTCGATCATACTCGCTAACAGATCCCCGTGTTCGTTGCTCTCGTCCGCCGGTCGTCCGCGCATGGTCTCGAAAGCATTGGCGAGCAAGCGGAAGGCCGCCGCCATGTTTTCGGGCTGCGGTAAAGCATTGGCATTCGTGTGCGCGCTGGGATCCGACGTATCCACGAGTTCGAGCTGTGAGAAGAAGGTCGAGAGGTCTGGTCGGCGCGAGGGTTGCTGCGACTTGTCGTCTTCGGTGGAGATGTTGTGTTCAACTGTCTGGGTTAGCTGTTATGTTGCGCACACAGTCGCTCCTGCCTACCTTCGTAGCCCGACATAGTGGCGGTATTCCAGATGTCGCAAGTCCGGATTAGGGTTTGTGGTTTGGGCGGATGTCCTTGCCAGCTGAAATTATGAAGCTACGCGGAGTAGACGCGTCACAGCAGCAGCCTGAGACCCTGCAGTCTGGAAGGTGCGACCCCTCAGTTGTGGCCCAGGTGGCGCTCGTCAGCCACACCATGACCCACACTGCATGACAATTCCACACTCCGCTGGTCCATCCCAGTTCTGCTCGCCATCGGCTTTCACTTTGGCCGCCGTCATTCTGCGACTGTCACATCGACGTGTGGCGCAGCCCAAGCCGCCACCCTCATTGGCGCTCGCACAGTCCGAAGACAAGTTAACACTAGGGGAAGCTTGTCCATGTGGTGTGCGATTCTTGCAACACGCGACACTGACGCGTTCGTTCGTAGTAACTAGTGAGGCCGCGTCTGTCGTTCAAGGTTAATGTGCAGTGTGGAGGAGTTCCCTATCAGCGCTGTCCCCAGTCTAGCGACGCTATAGTCACCTTGCACCACCTGCGTGAGGTTGGGCGCTGCATGCATATCTTGTCGATATCTGGGGAAACAAGCAACTGATGCCCAGGCACAGATCTCGGCAAAGATGCGACTCCATTGGAAACCGCTGGCGTCCACTCGAAGCAAATAATTGGGGCCTTGTGGAGCCGGTGATCCAGATCATGCACAGCCTCCTAGTGTCCGCAACCAAGTCGTCACGCACACTTTTCCCTGACAGACAACACAACATGCCGTAAAGGGGCGCAGTCATCGCAGCGGCAACTGATAGAGTCAGATACAAGAGGCAAAGCAGCCTCTGTGACACACTCGAGGTCTGAAGCTTCACATTGCCAGTAGGAGTCTTACAGTGCACAACACTCACCGCTTGGACCATCGCCGCCGACAACTACCACTTCACTACTTCAGCCTACATCTAAATTTCCATCTCCGCTCAATGTCGCTGCTCGTCATGTCAACAGATCCACCTTCTACTTTTGAGCGATTATCGCCCTCCTGGATACGCCGTCCCATGTCTCGAAGATCGACATCACCGCAAAAAGAGTCGCGGCCTACAACATCAAACGGCCTGCTTGCACCAGAACCAGCATCGACATTCAGCAATAGCGATGGCACACGATCACCACGCTCAAGCTCATCTAGCCGCCGCGGATCAATAATAGAGTTTGTCACCAGGTTCCGCTCTTCGTCCAACGCCAGTGTCGCAAGCAACAAGTCGCAAGACCCAACAGACTTCAGTGAAATCGAAAACTGGTTCTACGGATTCCGAAGATACAACCAACTAGTCAGCACCACCACATCACCAAACAAAGCCGACCAACCGCAAGACCTCTCAAAACCGTTCAAGAAGCTGACGAAGAAATGCGGGGGTCAATTTCTGCACGGGCTACCAGAAGCAGTCTTTGACTTCTCACTCCTCTGGTGTCCCGCAGGCCACCTGACCAGGAAAGACAACAACGAACCATCCTGGAGCTGGACCGCCTACGAAGGTCCAGTTAACTTCCCATTCGACCCAACAACCTGCCCAGATGTGTACAAACTGCCACGCAGCGAGGGCGAATGGTTCCAATCCGAGATCTTACACTTCCACGTCGGTCCTGAGTCGGCGCAATACACAGTCCGGCGGGAAAAAGAAAACTCCCTGCGCATCAAATACCCGCCTTATTTCCACGCGCCGCGCGGCTCAGACCACACCAACGAGTCCAACACCCTGCGGTTCACTGCGGCGACTATTAGTGCGGATGCGTTTACCGCTGAGCCCAACACATATGAAGGCAACGAAACACCATCCTCCCAGCTTATCAACTCAGACGGCAAAACTTGCGGCGCCATCATGGACTACGAATCTGAACTCTCAAAGCCCTCTTCCACTGGTCCTTTCGAGTTCGTGTTGCTGTCCAGGAACCTGTGGCGTGAACCGAATCCCGATAATAGCAAGCCGGGGTCGAATACTATGCATCCGACTGGCACGCCGATCTGGAATGGACAGCGTTTTATATGGGATGAGAGAGTTGTTGATCATGATGAGTGTTTTGAGATGGGGCCGTGGAAGATGCTGAATGTTATGCTTATCAAGTGGGTGGGGGAGTATGCGGAGAGGGTGGCGGTTGCGAGGATACATGAGGATGAGTGGAAGAAGCATAGTCCGATTAAGCAGGATATCGTGCTGAGATGAGATGAGGGGTTTTTGTCCTTTGGTTATGATTAGAGCGATGAGATGGGTATGATGGTAGATATGCCGTTCAATTATGCTATTTTGAGCATATGGATAGCCGAATATGACTAGAGTTTATACGTCAGATCTGGTTTTCATGAAATTGTTCGCTGACTACAGAGATTATTTCATGTTTTCATTTCATGCCGCTACATGAATGTATGAGTCTAGCAGTCAAATACCCTTGGTACTCGAGACTCGGAGAGTCCACGTAGCCTCCACGACTACTCATAAAACTCCCTCGAGCAAAGCTAAAGTCATCGTACACTTCAAGCCTTCTCCAGCTTCTCCTTCCCCAGCTTCTTCTTCTCCCACTTCGCCACCTCCTCATCAATGCACTTGAAGCTCCAGTTCTGGTAGAAAGGCGGATACAGGAAAGGCCTCAAGTCGAATCGGTTATCATCTGGCGAATATGCCTCTGCATGGTAGGAAGGCGTCATTGTCGTCATCTTGTGGCGGTTGATGGCATAGTAGTGGAAGAACCGCTTGACCTTGACTGCGACCTCGGCGGGAGTGTAGTTGTCGGACCATTCGTGTGCTAGGCGAACCCAGGTTCCGTATGGACCAAGTTTAAGCTCTTTGCGGCATTTGCCAAAGACTCCGAGTTCTGCGTAGGTCATGCCCATATCGACCTCGTCGCTCTGGACATAGTCTTCTGTGAGTGGTTCGAGTTCGGCCGTTGGGGTTGCGTCGATGAACTCGCTGAGAATGGATAATTCGAACTCATGCTGGGCGTATGCAACTGCAGAGGTAGAGGTACGAAGTCAGTACATGTCTCACATGCACTTTGGACAGTCAGAACTTACTAAAGCTCTTGAGATCTGTCTTCGAGATGGAGCCAATGGGGTTGAGGTCGGCACTGCTGCAGTCGTACTTGGTGAGGTATCCGCGCAGACACTCGTCGACGTTTCCAGAGGCAAGCACGAGAAGGCTACCACCATTAGGCCTGCCTCTTGTCAACGGCAACATTTGGGCGAAGTAGTAGGCTTGCACTAGACGGGTTCTGAAGACGTCAGTATCGTTATTGCTGCCTTCAATGGGATTTGCGAGCTCATGAAAAGATGCCGCACCATGCTCAAGTCTTCAACCTGGATTCTCAAGGAGGCGCCAGGTCTTCACTACTCGCATGTCTTCGGTCATCTGGTCCTGATCTTGGTGAAACTCACCTTGCCTGTATATTTTGCAAAGCCAAGTTCTCAGCAGGAGAACCGCCATGAGCCCTGAATCGCGGAGTGAAACCAGTCGCTTTCGCCAAGCTAAAGATGAGTGTACGAAGTCAGTATTTGTCTCACATACAGTTCGTACATGTATATTACTAACCCGTTCTTCGTAGCATCGTAGATCTCGTCGATGTCCGCTTCGACATGGTAGCATCCAATGTCTTCGGCTAACCTCTTGGCACGGCTCCTGGTCTCTTTGCTTGATTGCTGAGACATACCCATATAAACGGTATGAAGAATGCCGTTGCATATTTGCTTTGGGCTTGTAGGTACCCAGTCTTCGCCGTGATAAGGGCCTACAATGCGGCGGACATCCTTGAGAACTTGCTTGTTACCGTCCTGCACAGCCTTGTACACGAGGCGGCACATAGAGAATACCAGAGTCGCGGTGGCACAGCTATCGATCCCTCCGCTGAGAGGCAGCATGAAGCCAGCCTGGCCAGATCGGCGGAGGTAGTCCCAAAGCCAGCATGCAGGTCCGAGGGCTATCTCTTCTTCTGGTCGATGGTAATGAATGGTTTGGACCGGCGTTGGAAAGATGGAGGGATCGAAGTCTACATCCGAAGCTAGACGAATATCCGCCCTAAAGCGCTCATAGCGAGGGGCTGACGCAGCTTGTAGGCCACGTGATGGGTTGGTTCTATATGACCAGATCTCTGGTACGAAGTCAGTATATGTCTCACACGCGTTTCCCAGTCAAATCTTACCTTCCAGGTCGATCGTGGCCGAGATAACTTCGACGTCATTCAAGGAGAATTGAGATGCCTGCGCGCGGATGGTGCCATTGACCAAGACCTAGATGAGTTCACGAAGTAAGCATTTCTCTGAGATATAAATCGCATGGATGTCACTAACCATGCCAGATCCATCGTAGTAGAGTCTGTCTCCATCACAGCCTTGTTGATTGCTATACTGCTTTTATGTCAGCAAACACCACCAGAAAGAAGAACAAGGAAAAAGAAAAGAGGACACACCAAATACGCACCACCATTCTTGCCTGTCGCGGTCCGGATGAGGTCGAGACGTAGATCCAGCTTACGTAGCTCATGGTGAGAACCTGACGAGTTGATGATGATGTCAACGCCCGCGAGGCTCAAGTCTATATGTGGCGCCCGAGGTGTGAATAGCTCTTCGCAGGTTTCGTAGCCTATTGAGCAGTCGAGGGCAGATACTATGGCGTCCCCAATCGGAACGAAAGCTGAATCTTGCAGAGAGCGTGCAGTTAGGGGAAGCTCATGTAGCTCGTAATGTTCGACGCGTTGGGGTCCAGACCAGGGAATGAAGTATCGGCCTTCTCGATAATTCCCAGCCATCGCGAGGCTCATCTTGGGTCGAATCAACAATATCTTGCCATTAAGTACGACGATCCTCGCGTTGTAAAGATTTCCTGAATGCCTAACTGGCATGCCGACATCGTACATGATGCCATCGAGTTCGCGGTCAACAAGCAGGGAATTAAGCATTTGCCAACTGTGTGTGACCGTATCTTGTTCAAGAAAGTGGTCGAGACATCCATATCCAGGAATTGACAGTTCCGGCGTGGTGACATA